CCCTCGGCATTGCACACTATCTCAATTCTACCACTTTCATCTCTTCCCAACCTACCCGCCACAGGGTAAAATGGCACAAGAATTTTGCTTAAAGCTTCCTTGAGCACTTGAGCTTGGAAGAAATCAGAGGAGCCAGTTGGTTTGTAGAAGTACATAAGGGGTACATGCTTCCTTTGCATCATTCGTAAATCTAGGGTAGAAATCCATAGGCGTTGACTTGGTGTATCTTGAGCAGGGCATACAGTGGTGGACCCTTTTATGTAAATCTTCATACTACGTTTATTCTGGAAGGAATTTCTAACAAAGAAGTAACTAAAAAAGCATAAGAATAAGAATAATACTTGTACCCAAAATGTTAACAATCCCTAAATTCGGAATAGATTTCCTTTACAATTACTGGGCTTTTTTTTTTAGAAAGCTTTAAAATTACTGGCTTTAATTGCTGGAAATTTAAAAATTGAAATCAAAAGACAAGGAAGTAGAAGAATTAATTTCTGAGATCAGAGAAGAAACTACTAAGTATATATTAAGGATTAGAATCAAAAATCAAAAATAAAAATCATTTCACGTACCTTATATAAACTCTCTCCCTTGAGGGTTGAAGGTATGAAATGGAAGAACTCCAATCTGATTCCAATGTAAAGAAAGAAAACAGGAGAATAATGTCTATAAATATATTTTTGTTTATTCACTATTCTGAATAGTGCATGAAAAACAAATTGGAAAATTACGAAAAAACAAAAAAAAAAAAAGAAAAAATGAAAAAAGGAGAGAAAAGGGGCAGAGAGGTGAAGAGGTAGAAGACGACTCCGTCTGGGTGGGACCGAGGCCTTGTCTTTTGGGCCCATAAGTCCAATCCAGAACTTTGAGTCCATTTCCAAACCCTCTAGAGTCTAGATAGCAGCCCGTATCTTATGGGCTTTTATCTAGATTTTTATTATTTCTCTCTCCCGCCAGCCCATTGTGAACTCCTGTCATGGTGCTTCTTCTTTCCTCCGCCCTGGGCAGCATTGTCGGAGTCGGACATTGATTGCGAAGTTGCGTTGTTATGCGGTAACGATGAACTATAGAAGCTCGCGATGAGTATAGTACGAGGTTGTGGCCCTTCTTTAGGCATCAACAGAATCAAAGCCAACCTGCTTTCTTGTAGAATTATCACTTCAACTTCTGGCAACCGAAGACCGGACGAGACTTGTCTGGCTCTCCTCCAATCCTGCGACGCCCTCCCAAAACTTTTCCAAGTCCACAGCCTCATCTTCAAACTGGGTCTGCAAGGCAACCCTTTTGTTCTTACCAAATTCACCTCCAAATCTTCCGAACTCAACTCTGTTGACTATGCTCATTCTATCCTCTTCTCGGCGCAGTCCGATTGCAGTCTCTACGATACCTTCCTTTTTAACAATCTCATCAGAGCTTATGCTCAAACAGAGAGCTTGAAGGCTAAAGCTTTGGAAATGTATAATTTTATGCTTCAGTGTGGAGTGCTGCCTAATAATTACACGTACCCATTTATGCTTAAGGCTTGTGCTGGCATTGGGGACTTGAGCTTAGGGAGGTCCGTTCATGGGTCGGTGTTAAAGTTTGGTTTTCATGAAGATGTTCACGTTCGGAATACAATGGTGCATATGTACTGTTGTTGTCGGGGAGGTATTGATTACGGCAGGAAATTGTTTGATGGAATGCCTAAGAGGGATTCCGTTCCATGGAGCGCGATGATTGGTGGGTACGCACGGTTGGGGCGGTCTGTGGATGCAGTTGAGTTGTTTAGGAAAATGCAGATTGCAGGTGTCCGCCCTGATGAGATTACTATGGTCTCAGTTTTGTGTGCTTGTACAGATTTAGGTGCCCTCGAGCTTGGGAGGTGGATTGAGACTTTTATTGAGAAACAGAAGGTTAATAAATCTGTTGTGCTTTGTAATGCACTGATCGACATGTTTGCAAAGTGTGGTGATGTTGATAAAGCTCTGAAGTTGTTTTGGAACATGAGTCAGAGAACTATTGTTTCGTGGACTTCTGTCATTGTTGGTTTGGCAATGCATGGTCGTGGTTTGGAAGCTGTTTCTTTGTTTGAGGAAATGAAAAGAGGCAGAATGGTGCCAGATGATATTGTGTTTATTGGGTTGCTTTCTGCATGTAGTCATTCCGGATTAGTTGACCAAGGCAGAGAATATTTTGATTTGATGAGTAAGGAGTTTGGCATTGTACCTAGAATGGAACACTACGGATGCATGGTAGATTTGTTTTGCAGAGCTGGACTCGTAAAAGAGGCATTGAGATTTGTTCAGAAAATGCCTGTTGAGCCAAACCCTATTATTTGGCGAACCCTGATCAATGCCTGTCATAGCCATGGTGAACTAAAGCTTGCAGAGAGCATTACCAAGCAGCTGATCCATTATGAGCCCCTTCATGAGGCTAACTATGTTCTACTTTCCCATATTTATGCGAAAAAGTTTGACTGGGGGGAGAAAACTAAGATTAGAGAGGCTATGGACAAGAAGAGGATGAAAAAGATTCCAGGGAGCACTATGATTGAACTAAATAATGAAATATATGAATTTGTAGCTGGAGATAAGTCACATAATCAATACAGGGAAATATATAAGATGGTGGATGAGATGGGGAGGGAAATGAAGAAGGCTGGATATGTTCCTACCACAACAGAGGTGACGCTTGATATTGATGAAGAAGACAAGGAAGATGCTTTGTACAGTCATAGTGAGAAGCTGGCTATTGCTTTTGCCCTTCTAAATACGCCATCTGGAACTCCTATTAGGATTGTAAAAAATCTGCGAGTTTGTGGTGATTGTCATTCTGCTACTAAGTATATCTCGAAGATTTACAGTCGAGAAATTGTAGTAAGGGACCGGAATCGCTTTCACCATTTCAAGGATGGGATATGTTCATGTAGAGATTTCTGGTAACAAGCTGATTACAGTTTCAACTTTCATTGTTATCAATTCAACTGCTTGAAATTGAATACGAGCTTGGCTTGGCTGGTTCCAATAATGAGGGTTATATTGTGGGTTATCATGCACATCTTTCGTAAATATTCACCAGAATACCTAATGGGACAATTCTCCATCTCTTTTCTAACAATTTTAATCTAACCTGGTGATTTGAGATAGCATCAGAGCAACCCCCAGAGAATTTTAATCAGATGTGTGTATTATCATAGTCTGCAATTCGACAGTGGTTGCAGCAGGCAGAAATTGTAATGTGAAAATTGGAGCTGCGCAAAGGCTTCTTCCCTGGTTGTCAACTGTATAAGCAAGTAATCCAAAATTACACTGAAGATCCGATTTTTGCTGGAGTTAGCTCTGTTGGAACGGGATTGCTCTAACATTTAATATATGTAGTCTTCACAAACTAATAGATCTGGTATTTTGATAGTGGGCTTATGAGCTAGAGCCATTATGCATTTCGACTTAACAACCAGAGGTATCTGAAAGTATATATATATATATATATATATATTGAGATGCAATAACTGGAATTGTGAATCATATGGGTATTATGTATATAAACATTTTAGTGAGGGAAGTCAGATGCAGTCAATTGTAGAGCACAGTGATCCCTAATTCAACAAGCACTCCACACAAAACATGTGAAATCCTCTTGGGTTGGCAGCAAAGGTAGGCTGGAAGAATGGTATTTACTAGCATTAATAATTTAATTAATCAATGTGATTGAGTGACTAAACTTGCTACTTTCTAACATGCAAGCTACCATAAGGAAATAGGTGGTCAAAATGTGCAGTTACTGCAAAAAATCTAGTGAACCTTGGCATTAAAGTAACTCAATTTCCCTTTTCATTTCTTTTGTGGTTGAAGGTCTCCATATTTTCTTATTTTCTTGTATTTCTTTTCCCATTTAGATCTCTCAGGTTTGATCCTTTGTTGATTTTCAAATGTTGTAGTCTTGCAGTGCACTCACCCTTTCACTTTTATTGTTACTTCATGATGAACATCTGCAATATTTGTGAAAAATGAGCAAATTGGGGGTGTCTGCTATGAGTGTCTGACCAAGATTTCATGTTCCATGATAAAAAGCCCATTTAACAATTGTTCCCCATTTGTAACTAAGGCAGCAAACTTTGACTTAAGGCCTTAAGATTTTCAAGGTGGTGTACAGCAAGAATAATGCTAGACCTGTCTAAGATGCTAAATTATGTAAAATGTTGATATTATTCCATTATACTTTAGTGCTTTATTATATTGTAATCTGCCCACATTCCTTATGAAGGTTCCTCACGTTTTATCTACCCTAGGAAAGGAGAATGAGGCAGTCAGTTCTGTTCTCCATTAAACTGTTGACACTAATCTTGATTCTTCTTTTTTTCTACCAATGGAAGCAGAGAACCATGTTCTCTGACCTGTAAGAGTTGGGTTACATCACCTCATGGAGAAATATGGAAATTCGTCAATTAGTGACTTTGTAGTGGAGGTTAATATAAAAATGACTGGTATCATTGCTGTATTAGTAGTACAGAGTTCAGCAATTACTTTGAGCATTGCAGAAAGGAGGAGGGTCTTGTGCTTTTGCTTGAACACTTCTGCTGAATTCTGGAAACATGGTTGGTTTCTTCTAGCCTCTTGGATGTTCATATTTTGCACCTTTTTCAGTGGAATTTCTTACCATTTTTTTATGGGATTGATGATTACCAGCTTCTGTATGGAGAGAATGATAGCTTTGGTTTTGATGACAGGAAGAGAAGATAAATTGCAATGTTGCAGATGCTGTAGACTACAAGGGATTCCCTGTCAACAAGTCTAGAACTGGTGGATGGGTACGTGCTGCTCTTATCATAGGTATTCAAGAATACAACTCTGGTGTTTCTTTGCAACCTATTCTTCTATACATTTCAATTATGCGTTGCAGTGAATTGCTATAAGAAGAGTAAAATATTGCTATCCTGATAGGCTACATGTTATTGGAGATATACAAGGCCTGGTGCCTTTTTCAATCATATCTCATATCAAATACTCTTGGTTTCAGTGAAAACTGAGAGGAAAGAAAATGTAAGTTATGGTTGTTTCCCATCCAAGTAACATGTATAATATCTTTCTGATTTGTCTGTATTGGAGGATAAAGAACAAAGAACAGAATAGGCTGGTGATAAAGATTCTTCCTTTAGCTACTCAATTATAGGAAGAGTTGTAAGGAAGATCTGTTGTTGCACAGTTCTTCCTCTTGACTCAGGAAAATAGAAAAGAAACAGAAAAGAGAAGACATGAGTTATAAGCTACTTTGTCATGAGAATTCCAATATCATTACAAGAAAACACCCCAAACCTGGAAAAAAACAGATCAACTTGTACCCAAATCATTAACTAGAGATGTATTTTGCAGGCACTGAGATATGTGAGAGGCTCTCAACAATGGGAATTGCTGTCAATCTGGTTACGTACTTGTGTGGAACTATGCATCTTTCAAGTGCAACTTCTGCCAACATTATAACAGACTTTCTGGGAACCTCCTTTCTCCTGTGTTTGCTGGGTGGCTTCCTTGCCGATTCATTCTTAGGCAGATATAGAACAATTGCAATTTTTTCCTCTGTACAAGCCCTTGTGAGTGTTCTAAATCTCATAATTGTCTTACCACACACCCATATAATATTTAGTTTTATGATACGGCTAATGACTTGATAATGGTGAATCAGGGAACTTCCATGTTAGCAATATCAACAAAACTCCCAAAGCTGCACCCACCTCCTTGTTATGCAACTGAACTTACTAAATGCAAACAAGCTACTGGCTTTCAAATGAGAATTCTCCATCTTTCCTTGTATCTTATAGCAATAGGGACTGGTGGCCTAAAGTCCAGTGTCTCAGCATTTGGTGCTGATCAGTTTGATGAGAAAGATGAAAAGGAGAAGGCTCAGAAGGCTTATTTTTTCAACAGGTTTTATTTTGTCATTAGCATGGGGGCTTTGATGGCTGTCACGGTGCTTGTTTACATCCAAGATGAAGTGGGCCGAACTTGGGGTTATGGAATTTGCTCTGCTTCCATGTTTGTTGTCATATTGATATTTTTATCAGGTACCAAAAGATACAGATATAAAAAATGCTTAGGAAGCCCCATAGTTCAGATTTGCCAAGTTTTTACAGCTGCCATTCGCAAGAAGAGTGCTAAAGTACCTTCTGATATTGCATTACTTTATGAGGATCTCCCAGAGGCTTTGAGAATTGATCATACAGATCAGTTCCGGTGAGCTATCTGTTGTGGAACAATGCAAGTTTATTTCATTCAATCACATGTCCTACTATGTATATGCAGAAAAATGAAAAGGGAAATCAATTTTACAATTGAAGTTATTAACGCCTACCTTTTGTGGTTGTCATTATCAGTTTCCTGGACAAGGCCTCTGTTGTCACAGAAGGTGATTTCAGGGATGATCGTTCCGTGGCCTTCAACCCATGGAAGCTTTGTCCAGTTACAAGGGTAGAGGAGGTGAAGATGATGATCAGCCTACTCCCAATCTGGGCAACAACAATTATATTCTGGACAACACACGCACAAATGATCACTTTCTCTGTAGAACAAGCATCCACCATGGAGAGAAGAATAGGACATTTCCAAATCCCAGCTGGTTCCCTCACTGTGTTCTTTGTGGGAGCCATATTGATAACTTTAGGTGTATATGATCGTTTGATCATGCCATTTTTGAAGAAATGGAATGGAAAACCAGGTGAGTCGGAAGCTATCTTTTAATTTTGTTTATCAGCTTTATATTATTACATTAGAGATAGCATTGGATTGTTCAGACAATGTTGATATGATTTTGGCTCAGGGTTTACCAACCTACAAAGAATAGCCATAGGTCTGTTCCTGTCAGTAACAGGAATGGCAGCTGCAGCAATAGCTGAGGTGAAACGGTTATCAGTGGCAAAAGTATCACCTGAAACTACGACTCTGCCAATCACTGTTTTCCTTCTGATCCCGCAATATTTCGTGATGGGTTGTGGAGAAGCATTCATATACACCGGCCAGCTGGATTTCTTCATTACTCAGTCACCAAAGGGGATGAAAACAATTAGCACCGGCATATTCCTCACAACTGTGTCACTGGGATTCTTTTTTAGCAGCCTGCTTGTTTCCATCGTCAAGGCAGTGACTGGAAGTGGCAGTAAACAGGGATGGGTAGGGGAGGACCTCAACAAAGGGAGACTCGACTGCTTTTATGGACTTCTAGCTGCACTAGGCTTCATTAACTTTGGACTATTTCTTCTTGCTGCAGCATGGTACAAGCGCAGATTGGAGACTCATTCCCCCGCCCCCCCTTCCCCGGATGGAGATTATAGTTGAAGGTTCCTTGGTCGAAAAGAAATGCTACACTTAAGAGGTGTCTTAAGTGGTTAAGAATTTAAAACTCTAAGTTGGAACTATCAAATTCAAATCTTAAGACAAGCAGAGGGAGGAAGGGAGAGATTAAAGGAAGGAGAGAGCTATCTTTGTTGTATAGCATATCATCTCTCTAAAAAAAGTTGAAAAGTAATGCTGATTATTGTTATTTGTTTTGTTGTTTTTAGTTTTTTCACCACCATGTTAGTTGGTTAGCACTTGATCTTGTTTGCTATGTAACTTGAGTAGTGTCATAAGCTGCAAACCTTTGATATGGATGGATCATGAGTGGTCTTCTCTAACTCGACGTAAGTCGTAACCCACATTGACATAATGTTAAACCAACCTGACCTACCCATTTGCAATATCTACGGGAGATAAACATCCACTTAGGGCATGGAGTTATGCTAATACAACATTAGCCAACTAACATGACGAAGAGTGCGTGGATGTAACTTATTCAAGTCACTAAATCTATAAAATCATGGGAATATTTGATATTGACAGCCAACTTTTGTTGCTGGTGGATTTAGAATGTGAAGTTTATAAAATGCTTGGATCACTAACACTCCACCCGCTCAAAACAATGTGTTTCAGCCCCCACAATCATTGTGTTTACGAATTATGATAGTAATAAAAGCTTACAATAACCAAAAACTAGACTAGAACAGAATAGCAGAGACTTGGGAGAAACCCAGATCCATTAAAGGGCCCTATTTAGTTGCTAAACTCGGTATTCACTTATTTACTAGCAACAAAGAGTATAAACAGATGACAATAGAACTAGAAAAAGCTTGAGGAGTTATAGTTCAATGATAATCTTTTTCTATTGAAAATAAAAAATTCTAAATTCAAGTCATGTAATATCAAGGTTTGGTTTGGTGAGGTGGGTTAAAAAATAAAAGAAAATTGCCTTTTATTATGCAAACCAAAATTAAAAACAAAAGAACAAAAAAAAGAAAAGAAAAGAAAGAACTTGAGGAAAGAGTCCATATAAAGAGATAAAAGATAATTAATAGTTGAGAAAGCAAAGGTAGAAGGCAGCACATTTAGACATTTAAGATTTGCTAAACTTTCCTTGCCTTAATCACCCAACTTAAATTCTATTTGTATGCAAGGATGAACCAAATTCTGGGAATTTGGTAAGGACCTGTGACATGAAGAAAACAAGCAGCAATCTCCACACAAAGTTGGAACAAACTAAGTTTTAGAGCTGAATCACATACGCATACACATACAAATGCTGTTAGACTCAGTATAAATCAACATTAAGCATAACAGTTATATCAGGAAAGACAAGGGTTTACAGTATTATTATTCAATGTGTTCCATCAGTTTTAAAAGCAAATGTTAATGATTTAAGTAGCTTATAACATTCCGGACTTGAATACAAGAAATTTAACAGGATAGCTAGCTCAAGCTACTTTAGATAATAAAACCATAACTTATTGTCAACCGACCACATTTTTAATTTAACAAAACCATCTTTAAAATATCAAAAGTCAAAATGACCATCATATGTCTGTAAAGAATTGAATGGTAGACCCTAAACTTCAAGAGTAATAAGTTTGTAGATGATAATAACTTGTCCACTTGGACCACTTCTCACATTTGCATTTCAGAATCATCATTCTACCAATAAATCTCTAACCTCTAAAAGATAGAGGATTACTGTTATTTGAATTCCAGCTCCTAAACTTCCAACACTTTCGAAACATACATATATAAAGGACAAGATGAAATAAACATATGATATAAAATTAAACAAGACAAAATGATAAATAAAACACAAGGTGAAATAAACATATGATATGATAGATAAGCTTTGAAACTCCAACAATGGAAGGAGCACCTACAGAAACACAAGAAGTCAAAAGATCAAAAAGGAAAAAACAAAAGTAGAAAATAGAAACAAGAACAGGGCATCTGAGATTCTTGCTCTACTAACATACAGGAATTGGCAATAGGCAACAGATGTGAATCTCAAACCCCTAGTATTACTAAAGAACGGCCATGATTAACCAACACATGAAATGGAAACCTAAAACAGAATACTATAACCAAAATGCAGCCAAAGAGCAAAAGAAATCTGATACAGGATATCTCTTTTGCCCCAAATTAAACCCTTTTGATCACCATCCAACCTCTTCCTTTTCCTTTTGATCTTATTTTCATTGTCTGTTCCCATTTCATTTCCTAGTTTAACCCTTGATCTAATTCTGCGATTCACTCTTCTTGTCAGTTCCTTCTCCTTCCCTCTCTTCCAACAACCTCCCAACTTCTTCATCCGGCTGAGCAGTCTTCTTCTGTGCTTCTTTGGCCTTCAAAGCCTGCAACTTTGAATGGTTATAGTATGCAACACCCAAGAATGCAAGCCCATATCCAAACAAGTTGATGGGTGTCACAGTGTCCTTAATAATAGACCAAGAAAACGCAATCAACAGCCAATCCTTAACCACACCGGCCACATTCATGGTCAGGGCAGAGGTCTTCCCAACAAGCAAGAACACCGCTAGATTCAGAGCAAAAGCACAGACGGAATTGGTCCCAAAGATCAAGAAATCAAAATGGAAACTTGATGTCTCCCTCAGAACAGGATACTCAACAAAAATCCAAGGGACCAAGAGAAAAACGAAACAGCAGGGCGCAACATAGTACAGAGAAGTAATGGGATTCAACGTGATCCCTTTAGAAGCGAGCAAGATTTGGATCATGACCAACCTGGTGGCCTCAAAAGCAACAGCACCCAACTGCAATATCACGCCCCAGCTGTCAAATCTAGCCTCCCCATAAGCCGCAATGGCCACCCCAAGCGAGATCGAGACCATATTAACCATGGTATCCTTCCTGAAACCCTCCTTCTTGAAAAGCACCCCAATCGAATATACCGCTACGGGCATCAGAGCCTTGAGCATCTGAATAAACGACACGGAAAGGTAAATGTAAGCGGAATTGGAAAACCATAGACTGAGAGAGTACAGTGCTCCAATGGGGACGACGGATGAAAGATAGAGTTCGCGAGACATGGTAACGGGCTCGACAAATTTGAAGACTTTGATGAGGAGGAAAGCCAAGGTGGCGCAGAAAGACATGTGGATCATGGTGAGGGAGATCGGGAAGGGCCAATTGTACATCTTCTTGTCAAGGATGTACTTGTTGTAGACGATGACGGTGAAGCTGAGGAAGATCCAGATGGCGACATAGGCGTAGGAGAGGAGGATCTTCTTGATGACGCCGTCGCTGAGAGTGCCACCCTTGCCCATTTTCGACGGGAATTGAGAATGCCCGGATGGGGGAAGGGGTGAGCGCAGGATAAGCAGAGAATGGACGCCGGATAAGGTGGAGGAGGAGACGAGGTGGTGGCGGTGGAAGTAGTCAAGAGAGTTTGGTGTGGAGATTGGAGAAGAAGACTTTTGGTTTTATTTTATGTGGGAGAGGATATAATGGGCCTAATGGGCCTTTTCGTTTCCATTTTCACTGTGCTTTTTATTATGTAAGTAATTTCCATGAATTTACCTCATCCTTGTCCTTCAACTTGAGCCTTTCCTTCCATCTAAGTTCTCAATTTTCATTTTTATTTATTTTCCATAAACAAAAAAAAAAAAAAGATGCATTGAAATGTAGAAAAGTGAAGATTAAAATGTTTTATCATCCCAAATGGTAGGATGGTTTATAAAATTGTTTGAAAGTTTTTAGTAAATTTTTATTAATTAATTTTAAAAAGTATTTAAGTCTTTTAATTATAATTTTTAATATTTTACTTGTCAAACAAATACTTTTTTGCAATTTGATAGGTAATTTTCTTTATGAGCTAAATTTTATGTATATTTTAAGAAGTAAGTGTCATGTGAGGAAGTTGAAATCCACAGATATAAAATCAGAACATTTTGTATAATTAGTAATTCATTTAATTATTGCATAAATGAAAATCTTGCCTATTTTGAAAGAAAATGACTGATAAGCTGAATCTCACTAGCCAAATATGAGGCCGAATTCACTTGAATTTTTCTCTTTGGTGATGCAAATGCAACCTACATAAATATACACTCTTATTACTATTAATACTTTTAAAGAATATTACATATAAGCCCAATAACGTGATTCAATGATTAAAAACTTAAGATTTTAAGTTAGAGATCTCAAGTTCGAACCTTGAGTTGAGTGAGGAGGACTTGGGAATAAGTAAGGGAGGACTATCCCCTCATATTAGTTCATATTTCTAAAAATATTAGAGTATTAATATTAAATAATGTTATTTTATTTAATTAAAATCTAATTTAAAAATAAAAAATTTACCTTATTAAATGTTAATATTTATATTTTGAAACTAAAAACTCAATTCAAAATTCAGAAATATATCATATTAATTGTTCATATTTAAATTTAAATTTCGACTATATTAGAATATATAATTAATTTCTAAATTTAAGTACTACCATTTAATAAGGTTAATTTCTAAATTTTAAATTAGATTTTAATTGAATAAAAGATGTGTTTTAAGGTTGAAACTTTAATTTGTTTTTTAAGAATAAAAATTGATATATACTTTTTTTCATATTTTTATTAGTAGGGTTCTTTATATTAATAGGACTTTAAATACAACAATAATATTACTTAGCACCGTAAGATTAATATTATGATATATTATTAAATAAATATATATAATATTATAAGTTGATCTCTAAATAGAAAAAACAATCATATTATAATATGTTATAATTTATAATTATAAACTTA